TCACAGTGGGGGTAGCCTGGCAGACTGAGAGCTGGCATCGGCAGGCTCCTGGGTGATGACCAAGGTACTCCCAAGGGGCAGAGGGCAAGGCGGAATGAGAGAGTGCAGTGAACACCTCTCTGGAGACTGTACACACCAGATGTGCCCTCCCTGGAGCTAACGGGATCCTGAGAGGGAACAGGGAGGGGTCTGGGTGCTTGAGCAGTGGAGAACAGAAGGTGCAAGGACTGAGTGGTGGGCGCACTCACAAAATGGTCACCAGCCCAGGGCAGCAGGCAGACGCTCAGGTTCAGGTGACACTGAAATGAAATGACACCACATCTGATTTTCTGTGCAAACATTTGTGCAATTAGGCACATCTGGTCCTGACAGGGAGGAGTGGGCTGCAACATAGGCTTGATGGATCAGGGTGCTCTACCAGGCTCCGTCCACACTCAGCACGGAAGCCAGAGCCACAGGTCCGTTTTCCTCACAGGCTTTGTCCTGGTTCCCACCTGGGGCACTGGGGGTGGAGAAGGTGAGGGTATGGGCCAGCCCTGAGGCCCTTGCTGTGTCCCCGGCTTGGCCTGGCAGGAACCAACTGTCCTGAGGATAGTGTGGAGCCACGTGAAGCCCACCCAGTGGGACCAGGTAGGGACGGGGGGCTCTGGGAGCACCATGCTGCTGCCCATCACTGGGGCTTAACTAGCCCGTCCTTGGCTCGGGAGATCTGCACCCCAGAGCCTTGCCCTCACAGAAGTAACTGCCTTTTAGGGATGTCACATAGAAGTCACTGTACCTCTCTGAGCCTCAATGTCTGCATCTGCAAGATGAAGCTTAACCCCCATCTCACAGAGCAATCAGGAAGATTGATCAGTACAGCACACCAAGGCCCAGGGCTGTGTCTGGGCTACTGCAGAACCATGCAAATTATAAATATGCTTTACTGTATTCTACTGGCTAATGCCAGACTCCACACTGGGGCTCAGTGATCCCAAATAACCTGAATAATGGCCCCCAAGAATGTCCGTCCATACCCTAATCCCTGGCATTTGTGTTTCCTTCTATGGCAAATGGACTTTGGAGATGCAACTACCCTAAAGATCTTGAGATGGGAGCCACACGTGGATTACCCTGATAGGCCCTAAAGACAATGGCAGGTGTCCTTAGAAGAGAGAAGCAGGGGAGGAAACTCCCACAGACCAGGAAGAAGGCGAGGTGAGGACAGAGCAAGGTGGGGAAAGGCGACGCGTATGAGGTTGGGGCTGTAAGCCGAGGAATGTAGGCAACCTCCAGAACCTAGAAACGTCAAAGATTTTCCCCTGGAGCCTCCAGAAGGAACCAGCCCTGCCTCCAACTCCTTGGTTTTAAGCACTATAAGATTTATTTCAGACTTCCGACCTCCAGAACAATATGAGGATAGTTTGCATTGTTTTAAGCCATGGAGTTTACGGTAATTAGTTACAGCAGCCTTAGGAATCTCTTCAGGAATCCAGTCCAGTGAAAGAGCCGAGCAGGCCAGGAGGGACAAAGTCGTCTCTATGGGCCACCAGCTGGGCACCCCTCCCTGCTGCTTGCCAGCATTCACGGCCTCCTTCTCCAAGTGCTCTGCTCACACCCCACCTCACTGGACAGGAAAGGAAGCAGGCCCTACCCAGAGCTGGAGCATGGGAAAGCCTGGAGAAGACCCAGGCCCCTTCCCAGGGCTCCTACCTGCCCAGGGAAGGACAGCACTGGGGGCCTCCCCTCTCAGCGGGGGCTCTGCCTGCAGCCAGGCCTCTCAAGCCAGAGCCTACAGCTGCATTACCTACAAGGCGAGGCACACATATACACAGGCCCCTCCCCCAGTGTCTCTGACTCAATGGGGCTGGGCTGCAGCCTGAGGATCTGCATTGCCTGCAACAGACTCCCAGGGGCTCCCAGGGGCTGCTGCTGCTTGGCCTGGGAGTCTGGGAGCCACTGGACTCGGGCAGTGCCCTAACGAAGGACTGAGGTGCCATCAGGAAGGGCTTAGGAGAGCTCACCAGAGGGACCTGTGGTCCATACTTATGCTCCTACAAGAAAGGCCAGCTTGCAGTGGAGCGCCTGAGCTCAGGGGGCTGGAACTTGATTTCTAACTTCCAAAGCGGGTAAGCCGTAGGGTTAGTCAGCTACCCACTCTGTGCTGCTTCCGTTCCTTCATTTGTAAAATGGAAAAACACACAATGACTCTCTTTTGGGTTGTTGAGAAGATTAAATGGCCTGCATACAGGAAAGCATTTACAGCAGGCCCTGTTCACAAGGTCAGTTACATGAGGAATGGCAGTCATCACTGTTGGGGTCTTCCTACACTTCTGGTGGTACCTCGACACACTTCAGGTGTGTAGGGAGATATAAGCCAGGACATTCACCTACAGGGGGAAGCCTCCAGCATGGACTCCGCACGGAGTGCTCAGCATTGCCCAGTTTTCCTGATCAACACCCGTGCAGGGAGCACTTTGAAGAAGGCCTGCTATGTCCAAGGATCTGTGTCACCGAACCAGCCAAACATGACTCATGAGCAAGAAATCAGCAACAGCAACCCCCTCCCAACAGGGACTGAGCTCCCTAAATGCTCCTAGGATTCTCAGGCGCCACTTAGCAATTTTTGGATGGCCCAACTAGTTCCAAACACGTACACCTTTAGGCTTCTCTGGCTGTGGTCTCAGCCACCTGGAGGTGGAGGGGCCCTGGAGGTGAGCAGAGAGGGAAATGACCCCAACACCCACCCGGCAGACACAAGGCTGCTGCGGCAGATATAGTCAAGTGAGAACCAGCCACGCACAATGAAATAAAATGAAAAGCTCCCAACATGTCAACAGGACACAGAGGACAACTTGAAGGGACCCCCAATGTCCAAATCTGGGACAACTGGACCAGCACAATAAATAGTGATAATAGAGTATAACCCATAGAATCACACAAATAACCATGCGTCCATGTGTGTATCAACAGACAACTGCATGGAAATATGTAAATAAATGTGGGAGATCGGATAGCTTTTCCTTACAGGAGAGTTCCAACCAGTAAATGTGGACAGAAAGATAGAAACAGAAAATCACCATTTGACAAACACTAGTAATGACTGTTTCTGGCAAGAAGCATTGATGGATGTATAAGTTAGAGGATGGAAATGTGATAAGAAACATTTTCTCCAAGTATTATCCCACAAGATACTGATTAATTGCAAATGGGACAACTTTAAAGCTGGGAAGCCAGCAGACAGCCCTACAACCAAGTAATCGACATTCCCAGCAAAGAGAAGGGTGAACATCATCGGCCTCCTGACAGGATGCCTGGAAACCACACACATCGCTTTTATGGTGTTATTCCCCGAAACACATGATCAGAATGCCATCATGAAGCAGCATCCATTAGGCACACCCAAACCCAGAGACATCTTATACTGTAACTGGCCAGGACTCTTTAAAACTGCCAAGGTCACGAAAGACAAAGGAGACTAAGGAACTGTCCCAGACCAGAGATGATGAAGGGAGTCTCGACAGCCAAGTGCCACGTGGGGTCCAGGACTGGATCTTGAACTGGGAAGAAAGATACTAGCAGGCAACTGACCAAATTTGGATAAGCTCTGTGGGTGAGTGAACACCATGCTATCAGTCTTGCGTTATGTAAGATGTCAACATTTGAGGAGCCGCTTGGAGTTCATACAAGAAAGTCTTTATGATTTTGGAACTGTTTTTGTACGTCCTTAATTATTTCAAAATAAAAGATTTAAAAGTTAAAAAAAAAAGGTTTTAAAAAGAAAGTGAAAGTCCCAGGTTTGCTCCATCCTGGGGAAGCAGTGGGTGTCCTGAAACAGGACCCTGCTCAGGCACAATGCTGTGAGCACAGTGAGGGCTCAGCAGGTGCTTACTGACTTCACTGGGATGGGAGATGGTAGAGGCAGGCGGGGAGAGGTTCTCCACTCAGCAAACACTGGTTGTACACCTATTCATGTCAGCTGCTGAGACACAGAGGTGAGAGGAGAGCTCAGAGCTCGGTGGAGGCAAGTACAAAAATGGATGATGATACTGTGGATCAAGAGCAGCAGCCTTCACTCAGTGTGAAGGACCACAGTGCCCCTGAGGAGGTGGCTCCTCAGTTGAGGCTTGGAGATGGCCTGATGGGGGGACATTCCAGGCACGTTGGGCGGGCAGCTGGCACCAGGCACAGAGACACAGGACAGAACCATAGACAGCAGCTTAGCATGCAGAGGTGAGGGGCCGGAGGTGTGGGCATGAAGATGCTGGGTCCAGAGGGGTCTTGAGGCTGGCTTGTACTTTTTTGTAGGTACTCCTTTGCAGGTACTCCCCTGGAGGCAGGTGTGGGGAGCAGCGGAGAGTTTGGGGGTAGGGAGAAGGAGGGGCCTCTCTCCTGGAAAGAGGACAGATGGGATAGCCAAGGACCAAGACTTTGAGTCCTAAAGGCCAAGAAAATGACAGCAGCCATGGGCTTAGAGGCCCCAGGTGGGTATGAAGGGGACAGGGCTAGGCAGGTGGAGACCACCTGGTGACCCCACCCCTTCTCCCTGGGGAACTCAAAGCTGGGAATAGGAAGGGCGCCAGAGCATCACTTTGAGCTTGTCTTTATAAGTACGGTGACTATATAAAGGGGGACACTTGAAGGAGAGAAAAAGGGTGCTCTAAATTATGCTGGAACAACATATACCTAAGATCCCCCTACTTATATAGGATCTTAGACCTAGACAGGATTCCCACTGCATGGATGAAGAAAGAGCTGAAACCATGTATAGAGACACCAAGGAAGCCCAGAGCCTTCGAAGTGGTGATGTGGGCTGGGGATGGTTGGTGTTCCCATGCCACCCACCCACACGCTCACACAGGGTCCTGGGCCATGATGACAAAGGTGATCGCCCATTCAGGACAATGTAGATCAGGAACTCCCAAAAGACAGAGGCAGGAGATGTGGCTGAGGCTGCCGGCCCAGCCTCCCCATGGCAAGTGACTGCATGCAGGGAGCAGCAGGCAGAGGGCAGGACTTACCCGTGCACGCCGTGGACAGAATGAGGCTCGTAATGGTACCTTCCCTCCTGGTGTCGCATATCAATGGGTAGGGGCGCATGGAACGGTGGCAAGAGGTGCTGCGGCACTGCAGAGTGGGAGAGAGAAAAAGGACTTCAAAAACTTTTCCCCTCCCTCAAAAAGCTACTTTCAAAGGGCTTTAAAGCTCAGTGAATTTCATAGCAACAGCAGCCAGGACAAGGGGCTCTGCGGTGCCTGCGCGATCACACACCACGAAGGGGGATGAATAAATAATCAAAGTCCGCCCAAGAATCCTACATCTTCCACATAAAAGATCCCCAACTGCGCTCTTGACAAAGACAAGCAGCTAAGCACTCTTTGAACTCAGGGAGATTATAGGCAGGGCCACGAAACTGGACTCAGCCCGCAAATCAGGGCTGACAGAGCGACAGGCTCCAACTCCGCCGGCTTCTGCCCATGCTGGCCCCGGCTGCATGTGGCTCTGGCAGCACAGGTTACGGCATCCGGATGCTGCAGTGCACACAGGCTGGAGGTGTTTACCTAGAGTCATCTGTGAAGGCAGGGCCCACAGACGGCACCGCCAGCCTCGGGAAGGCCAAATCCCACCCAATTGCTGTCCTGTTTTGCTGGCAGCATAAAGCGGACGTCTATGTGAATCTGTTAGTTCTCCAGCTCTTAACACTAATTCTTGACCCCTGTATGCCATCGAGTGCCCCCAGAATCGAAAACGCCAGCACGTGCGCGTCAGTTTCCAGAGCTGAGTCAGCCTCCTATCTGAACTTGGCCTGCCCTCAACAAATCATCATGATAATTGTAGGATGCTCTTTGTTTATTTTTTAAAAAATCCTGGGTACCCTGAAGGCAAACATAATTATAGGCTTTAGGAAAACAAGGCTTTTAACAAAGTAGTTATACTGAGAAAAGGGCTAAGAAGTAGGGATTTCTTAGTCGACTCTCCCTCAGTCTGAAGGCCACAGCCCAGCGGGAAGCAGGGTTACATTTGGATTTCTGACCATTTTAAAGAAATGAGGATGGGTTTGTGATAGGTACGTACAGGTCAGCTGACTTTAGTTAACAAATGCACACACAGTCCACATGTCTGCTCTCAGCACTTGGCTGAGGGGAGTCTCCCAATGCCACCAGAGCCCAGACCACCCAACCCTACCCCTAGCTATGAGCTGGCATGCTCTGCTCAGGATTCAGGATTCAGGAAACTTCACTCAGGTCTATAAGGTCTATGGAACATTGGGAGCTTCAGGGGTTTACCGGGTAAACATGAAGTACAGGAAGCACTAAGGCTGCCTCTCTGCCCCACAAGACCAAGCAGTGGCGTGGGGTGCGTGTGCGTGTGCGTGTGTGTGTGTTTGCATGTGTTTGGTATGTGTCTAAGTACAGTGCGTGTGGTGTATGTACGTGTATGTGTGTGCTGTGTATGCATGAGTACATGTAGTGTGTAGTGTGTCTCTGTTGTAGTGTGTCTTATGCATGTGTGAGTACATGTAGTGTAGTAGTGTGTAGTGTGTGTCTCTGTTGTAGTGTTTTATGTACTACTGTGTGTATGTGCATGTGTGGTGCTGTGTATGTGCATGTGATGTGTGTTGCTGTATGTGGATATGCTGTGTTGAATGTGTATGCATGTGTTGTGGTGTATGTGTGTTGCTGTGTGCATGCACATGTATGTTATATGTATATGTGTTATGCCTATGTGCATGTGTGTTGCTGTGTGTATGTGCATGTTGCTGTGTATATGTATGTGTGTGCTGCTGTGTATACATGCATGTATGTTGTATGCCTATGTGTTGCTATGTGTATGTGCATATGCTGTGTGGTGTGTGTACATGTGTTGTCATGTACGTGTATATGCATGTGTTGCATGTGTACGTTGCTGTGTATATGTGTGTGCTGTGTGTATGTGCGTGTTACTGTGTGTATGTGCATGTGTTGTGTGTTGGAGAAGGGGCCTAAGGCTTCCAGAAAGAGGCCTGGGGAAGGGCCCCTCAGAGTCCTGCTGCAGCGGGGCCTACCCTCTGTTTTCTGGCGGCTCCTGGGGTGGAGGCAGTGAAGGGTACAGGGGAAGCACCTTCTCTTTCCCCAGGCAGGCAGGGCTGCAGGTGGCACCTCCCACCAGCTCTACTGCTCTCCAGGAGCCTCCATCACCTGTGGAATGTGCAGGCCACACACCTACACCCCTCTCTCACCCCCTGGAATCCCCAGGAGGAGCCTGGGAACACGTGTTAGTGGGTCCTCCTGTCCCAGCGGTGATGTGTGAGGTTGGCCAGGGCAGAGTAGCAATGAGCCCGCCAGGGTTGATGCTGCAGGGGTTGGTCTCAGTCTGCTGCCTCATGGGGCTCTGCTGACAGCACCTTTAGTTTTACCATTAACCTTATTCCCATTTTTCAGGAAAGAACATCAAGGCTCAGGATGGTATGACTCTACTTTCATAAAAGCAGTGATCCATCAGGCTGTAAATGATTGGTGGTCTCTGTTTCCCCTACACAGCCCAGTCCAGCACCTAGCATGCACAAGCCCCGGCACTGCCGCCCCAATGCGGTAGCACGGTGTTTGCCCCAGGACAGATGGGGGTGCATAAAGTCAGCTAGTCAGGGAAGGTGCAAGGAGCTGCACCCACGGTCCTTCCCAGACCCCTCTGCTCACCCTCAGAGAGGAGATCACATCGGTTCACACCAGCAGTTGTGAAGTATGAACAGCTGTCATCTAGAAACATGCATTCACTCATTTATTTATGCATGCATGATCTACCTTGTATCAAGCACTTGCTATGTGGCAGACAGTGTTCTAGGCCCTGGGAACAGTGTCATGACAAGATAGCCCACTGAGGGGAGACAGGTGCTGGACAAGTCAGCAAAATGTATATATGACATAGTGTCAGAGGGGGATGAAACTCAGGAGGAAATCCATCAGGGAGAGGGAACAAAGGAGACACGGATGAGGCATGGAAGTAAGCTGCCCTCTTTTTTTTGGAGACAGAGTCTAGTTCTATTGACCAGGCTGGAGTGCAATAGCGCGATTTTGGCTCACTGCAACCTCCACCTCCTGGATTATCCTACCTCAGCCTCCCAAGTAGCTGGGATTACAGGTGCCCGCCACCACACCCAGCTAATTTTTGTCTTTTTAGTAGAGATGGGGTTTCACTGTGTTGGCCAGGCTGGTCTCTAACTCTTGACCTCATGATACACCCGGAGAAGGAGCTCGGGGCAGAGGGAACAGCAAATGCAAAGGGCTGGTGGCAGGAGAACTCAGTGATTTCAGCATAATTAGGCAGGCACAGAAGGATGGATGGAGGTGGAAATACAGGAAAGAAGGTCCTATCATACTAGCCAGGCTGTGGGAAGAACCTTGAGATTTTTTTCTGAGCCATTTGGGAAGCCCTTTGTGAAATGCCATACAAGGAAGGTCCAAATGCTGCGGAACAGTGGTGCACATCTGCAAGGAATCCCGGACTGGCCCTGCCACTAGGTGGCCATGGAACTTTGGGGAACTTATGTCCCTTCTCTGGGTCTCATAGTCTTCATACAACAGGGATTAGAGGAGCTCTGAGGTCCCTTCCTGCTGGCACATTGCTGCTATCTGTAAATGGTTACCCACTTTCCAGGCAAAAGGCCTCGCTTATTCCAGCCAGTGACATCCCAAGGCTTCAGGAGGGACCCCCTGAGCAGGCCCAGACCGGGGCTCTGGGTGCAGGTGCTGGCTCATCTTTGTGGCCCTATATGTATAATGACTGACCCAGTGGCTTTTCTAAACCCACTTGACATACCAGCCCCAGCCCCTGTCCTCTGAGCCCAGTTATAGTAGGATGGCACCCCAACAGCCCCCTACACACACATGCACACATGTACACACAGTCTCTACAGACCAACTTTTCACCCACACAACCTGAGGGATGAAGGTTGACCCTGACTCATTGGTGGTCTCTTTCAGGCCAGTATGAATTGTCCCACAGCCCCCGATGGAAACATTCAGAAGTGAGTGCTCTGCTCAGAGCCCCCAGCCAGGCTGAGGAGGGGGAAATTCTGCTTTCCAGCTCTGGTGAGAAACCACTGCATCCAGAGGCTCCAGAAGCCCACAAGGAACATAAAGATGCATGGGAAGAACAGGTGCTGCCTTGAGTGACATCCTGAGCCAGAAACTTGCAAACACGGCTTTCATTGTTGGCTTTTATGGTTTTTTTCCCCAAGTAAAAGAAAAAATCCAAATTTAATCATGTCCTTCTGGCAGAGGGACACACACACCACCCTGCCCCCAAACACACACACCCCATATGCCGTTTCAAAGAAATGCCTCTCGTTTTAAGTTTCTGAGGAAGAACCTCTAAGATGGGAATTTTCAATGGATCACCACTCCCCTCTAGAAGATGCACATTTGTTTTTGATCCTACACAGAAAGCCCAACAGCCTGAGAAGCTGAGGGTGGCCAAGTGATGGCTTTTTCTTTAAAATCCTGGAATTTTCTATGCAGCAGTTTCAACACCAAATGCTCCTTGCTGGCTGTCCTCTCAAATGCTCCTTGAGGGCAGTGAGGGGGCAAGGACAACCCTTCCCTAGAAGCCTGGCTCAAGTTAATGCCCCATTAGCAATGATCCAGTGGATTCCTGGGGGAGAGAAGGAGGTAGGGGTCTGCAGAGTTCAGACAAAGAATCGAGAAAACTGGGTCATGGAAACGTGACCGGGCAGCCTCCGTCAGCAGCCGGAGGAATTCTCGTCGGATGAAGTCATGTGTTGCCACAGCGCAGAGGCACTGCCCCGTGGCTGGGCTCCCAGAGAGGCCCGAAGGGCTGTTCCATGGCAGAGAGGACAGCGAGGTGAAAGCAGCCACCTCTCAGGAGAGACTGCCTGTGTTGGGGATGTCCCGGCCCTCTGGGGTGTCCAGTCCTAGAGATTAACACTGTCTCCAGTTACTGCAGTCTCTCCCATCAAGACTGTGGGAGGGAATTAGCTCAGAAGCACGTGGCCGCTATGCACCAGGCTAGCCTGGACCAGAGAATAAATGGGTTTCAGAGAGAAACTAAGTTGCCCAGCACCGATGGAGGGAAGGTGAGGCCCAGCCTTGTACAATACAGGTCACTGTTATGATGAGGCGGCACAAACA